ATCAGAACAAAGGAAAATACAACAAGGAGCCAATGAGCAGTCATAGTAAAAACAAACCTCATGAAGAGCGGGAAAACGCGTGTGAACAAGTTACAACAGGCCTTAAGCGTACTGTTGAATTTTAATCGGAAGATATTCTCAAAACACTGTTATCAAGAGAAAACTTCTTCACGAAAACAGCAAAAAAGTAACAACGATTTATGAGTGTTTTAGTACAAGCAGAGCAGGCGGTGAATTTTCAGTAAATGACGTCATTGCGCATAAGAGGCATTGGTGTAAGTTTTGCATCTGAGTGGTTTGCAGAATGGCGCGAGTATTAGGATTCCTCTCGACACTCAATAGAAAAATTGAAAAGTGCCGCGGTAGGATAGGCTAAAAATGTTCGATGTTGTTTCCTCGCCATGTTATGGCGAGTAGCCATAATAATAATCTCTGTCTCGTTATTTCAGAACACCATGAAACCTTCGGTTGTACAGCTGACGCCTGAAACATTTAAATTACTGGTTGGGGAAAGGAAGAACGGTGAAACATGGCTGGTAGATTTTTATGCACCCTGGTGTGGACCGTGTAATGAACTGGCTCCTGACTGGAACAAGCTTGCCAAGGTACTGAAAATGAAACACTTATTTTCCTACGCTTGATGAAATGATGCTGATAATGATAATGAAATTGATTCTATATTTATAAGTGAAATAATAATGAATATAACAGTTTTATTAATAACGAGAATGATAGTGACGATGATGTTAAAAGTAGTACTAGTGATTATGATAATAATTAAAAACGATATTGATAAAAAAAGAGAAAGAAATGATATTGTTTTATGAGGTAGCCCAGCGGGATGGTAAAGAACCTCTTAATTACGATAAAATTGGAAAACACTCCGAGAAACTGTAATCATCTACTAATACTTCGTAATTAGTTTAACTTAAAGCACGTATCAGTTACGGACTTTTTGCATATGAATAATAGTAGCTAGCTCAATTCTTTGGTTTGATGAAAGGGCGGAAAGCAACTTGTTCATTGAATTAATTTTCTTCATATGAAGAATCGATTCACACGCTCATTTTCATTGGTTGTAAGTGATGATCTATTAGAAGACAGACGCACAGGTGACATCACCATTAACAACAGTTTGCTTTTTATCATATAAAACGAAGACTCCACGTTGTGGTGGGTCTGTTCAGTGATCAAAAGAAGACGTCAAAATGTGGCACGAGCGTCGGTGGCACGAGCGTCGGTGGCACTCTCGGCTGCGCCTCGTGGGCACATCTTGCCTTCATGTGAAATCTATTGCTGTAAAGAAGCACGGCGACATGGAATGTGTTTGTTACTCGACAATTAACCCTTTAGACACTAACATCAGTATATATTTTCTCCACACTGTTCTCTATACATTTCCTATAGCACTGACAAAGAGAATTTGTTTAACAATCAAGAGTGTCTTTAGTTGGTGATCATTTCCTTTATTCTCATGACCTCAATGTTTGTTTTGGGGCTGATACTTATAAGGGGTTAAAGGGTTAAGGAATTTCTTGCTTGTCGACTCGGCGGCCAGTCGTAGGTTTCGTTGGATGCTCCGATGAAAATCTCTCAGAAGCAACAAGTTGATGTTGATTTTATACTCTTCTTTTTGCAGCAAATGCAAGGAGAGGCTGGTGTTGGGTCAGTGGACTGTCAAAAGTATCGATCCTTTTGCCAAGAGCAAGGAGTGAATTCATACCCCACCATTCGTCTTTATCCTCACTATTCTCAAGGATCCCGTACCTACGTGTGAGTACTTAGTAGATTTTTTTCTGGAACAGTTGTCATCTTAGTTTCGAATTCGGGTCAACACAGTGGTTTAAGATTCCGTTTTGTGAATTTTCTCAGGGGCCATCGCGGCTGGCGGGATGTAGATTCTCTATACAGCTGGGCATTCAAATACCTTCCTTCGCTTGTAACGCAGCTGAATTATCAGGCATTCATGGACAATGTTGTCGACAGTGAGGATCCTTGGATCATCGATTTCTACGCCCCTTGGTGTGGCCACTGCATACAATTTGCTCCCCATTACGAAAAAGTGGCAAAGGTGAGCCAGTTTGGAAACAACTTCGTCTCAATATATATATATAAAGAACATATTAGTAGTATATTGTTCTTCCATATCACTCTGTAGCGGGGGGGGGGGGGGGGGGGGGGGGGGGGGGGGGGGTGCAATACAGCAAAAACAGCATAAGAGTAAGGTAATGATTCGTTAACGCTGTACAGCAGCTTCACTCTAAAATCTTTGAGGCAATGGAGGTGTTATCTCAAGGGGCACTTAGATTTGCCATTTTTGCGGGCCTTTTACGAGTATTTCAGTTGGACAAATATGGATTTAACCGTGAAACCTGAGCACCTTTGTTAGCTTTTAAGTCATTGAGAAGGGGAGAAACTCGCCTTCTCCTTCCTAGACTTCGCGCGGATAATAAGGCAAGAGTAAACGTTAGAGGCTGAACTGATGTGTTTATATTTCAATTTCTTGTAGTTGTTAGAGGGACACGTCAAAACTGGCAAAGTGGATTGTGAACAGGAGTACCATCTGTGCTCAGAAGCTGATGTGCGAGCATACCCAACTGTCAAGTTATACCTTGGGTCACCAGGATCTGGAATGAATCAGGTAGCAAGTCAATTTGCACTTAAAAGAAAACTGTCATTTTAAAAGCGTACGCTCAGAGCGCCCCGTGATGTATATATTTTTCGTAGACATTTTATTTCTTCATTCCTACATTCTTAGCCAGCATGGCGAGCGGTATCGTGTGTACGTTTTAAGGAAGGGAAGCCTTCGCGGTTCTTAGCTTATTTTCACGGGCTCGCTCCTTAGGCTTCAAAGCGCGCACCAAACTGCTAGCCACGCAGGCTATACATTCTCAGCTTTAAAAGGGGATAAAGGCGTATCTTCATTATTTTTTTAGCCAGTAAATGGACACATGAACATAGACTCTCAAAACCCGAATGAGATACGGGACATTGTACTTCAAGCTGTGGAGGAATACAAGGCTGACTTGGAAGACGAAAAAAGAAAAAAGACAACGACAAAGACAAAGACAAAGACAAAGACAAAAAAGGTGAGATGTTTGTATTATCCTTCTGCACTTTGTTGTCTTTAGATGTATTTGTAATTATTGTAATTTCAGCTCAGAGAATTTGGTTTCAAATCAAACAGTATCTTGTATGATAAATTTATCGTATCTTATATCTCTCTTCACATCACCCTTCTGTTTGGAATTGTATTGATGTGTTGGGAGATATTTTTTGTTGGTCGCTCCTGTTAGTGTGCTACTTCACAGTTGTGGAGCTTGAAAGTTTGCCATTTGCAATGCGTGACAATCCTACAGGAAAAGAAATTGTTTTGCGCATTGTTTTGCGGTCGCGTTTGCCGTTTGCAGATCCAATTTGGCGGCTCTACGATCCAATCTGATAGCGAAAAGTTCAATTTTAGTGTGAAAAAAAAGAGGAACAGGAAAGACTAGACTAAAAAACCTCTAGCTGAAGGAATGACGTACTTGATTTGAACCGAGCCATCACCGCTGCTCTATAAAAAGATTTGGTTGCCTTTTATGTTCGTAGAATTTGGTTTGTTTGGTTAACATGTCTTGTTTCCTTTTTTTCTGTTCCAGAAGAGCAAGAAGAAGAAAAATACTCCGGTGCATGATGAATTTTAGAAGACTTAAAGAAACGTATCTCTACAATCACAAGAGTCTTACACCGGCCACACTCTGGACAATCTTTTTGAAATTGGTCATTTTTAACATTTGGTGTCCATTAGTTCATTATGAACGCCTTACCCGAGGTGCGGTTTGGTTAAAAGTTTGGCTGTATTACCCACTTGCACATCAATGTCGAGATTTTATAGACAAGTAAAAGGAATTTTTATTGGTATTTTGAGCATTGTCCTCTCTCTCATCTCTCTACGACTTGTAGAATCGTTGATACTTTCATTTGTTCTCAGCGCGAGCTCAGGCTTGCCCAGTGCCCTTTGCAATCTCGATAAATGGCGTTAGGGGAGACTAAGGCGCACGGGGGTTTAATAATTCAGGTCTCCTTTATTGGAAAAGCGCTACATCAAACGTAGCATCGTGTGTGGCGAGGCATCCTCTCTGTCTGAGAAATGCGAAGTGGGCTTCCAAACCCATAAATCACGTGCATTCAGTTAGCTCGAGTGGGCATCGCTGTTTTGTCAACAAATGTCCCGATTGTGAGATGGTAAACGTTTTTTGTAGCACGTGGAGATCGTGCTTGGAAAAAATGACAGAGATTACTTAGGAGGGCTTAGGCTTACATCTAGGCTAAGCCGCAACGCCACTGTTCAGGAAGGAGCCCGCCAACCCCCTACCCTCCCTGCCCCTCTTTCCAATATTGCAAATTTATATCATAACAGTGGAACCCTGCTGACTCTATCTCCCCAGATAGTCAAAACATCGTTCAAGTTAGCGGCGGTGTACGAGTTAGTTGTTAATAAATGACGGAAAAAATGGGGTCGAAGGATCTTGTTCGAGTTACTGGCAAACGGGGTGTTTCTTCTACATCATCAGTCAGTAGAGGTTAAGTCATATTGGTTTTTAATGAAAAAAGAAGTAAAAAATCTGCGCACGAGGCAGTAGATTTAGGGAAGTTCGATCTTTTAAAACCCTATCGTTGTTTTGTGTGACTCCTTTGTTGCATCCATCCTTTTTACACTGTATTTTTAAAATCTTCCTATCCCTGCCAGGCAACTTCAGTTTCATGTGAAAGCACATGTGATACGAATAGAAAAGCGACAAATGAAATATAAAACTGCGCAAAAACGACATCAATTTACGTCGAGAAAATTAGTAAACGATACTCAACGTATTATGTTTTGTTCCCAAATCCGCTATTCTGTTATCAATCACGTGAATATCGCGAGGTGCATTCCTTGCGTGATCTTTTCGACACGCGCGCGTTAAACGAGGTACGTAGATTTGACTTGTTACCTATCCTTTGAACTTGATTGCAGACTTCTATCAAATGATAAAAAATAGCCTTCGCTCTTCACTTTATGGAATTACATGGTGTGTTAGATAGTGCGAGAAGAGAACCTCGATGGAAATCTTCGCTTTATATTCCACATGGAATTCAATAGATCGGGTTACTTCCTCGACAAGTATGCTTTCGAAAGTTCATTTTACTGATGTTTGATAATTTTAGGGCCCTGATAACCTCAGACAAGGGCCATAGAATCGACATAGATACTTGAATGATATTACGTACCCAACAGTTTAGCATCTATACGTGGGAATACGTTAGTGGATTGACACGTCTACGTTTAATGGCGCGTTGTTTTGGTATAATTTGGATATAATTTTAAACCCTAAATTTTTTCTTGATCATCAACTTGTAGATGCTGTGTTTCCGCGATTTGATATGATTCGGTGGAGACGGCTTTAAAAGACATCTTCCTTCCATCCTAACACAGGTGATCATTCATTAATCTTACGAATAATATTATTGTTTGATTTAGGCTCCATTTGACAACGCACTCTAGTTAAAAACTTACTGCTCTCATTAAGTCTTGCGCCAATCAAAGATCTTAATTTCTAGTAGGTTTGTATGTTGAAAAATTATATTCGTAAACTGAAATGCGTATGAAGACAATGACATGCCCAATGTGGACAAAAGAGTTGGTAATTTCGACTCGAATTAGCTTTCATTTATTCCTTGACAACGTAAAATTTTCATTAAAATTATCGAGGTACATGATTGAGGATTTGCGGTTACTGAGATGTCGGTTGGTGCCTTCTGTCACATATAATCGGAGAGAATTTGCGCATCGTGGGTATCGAAACTTCTTCCAACCATCGCCATGTTTTTGAAAGACCTTCGGTAAATTTTAATTGTCAAACTTCGCGTAGACAAATTTAAGGTGTCGCAAAATGAAAGGGTGCAAACCTTTTGCTCGTGAATGGGAGTAAATTTTCCAGGTAAGTGCAAGTGAATTACAGTGAATGTATTTGTCTTTCAGAAATATCCACAGTGAAAGGTTCCAAGCGATCATGGCGATGTTTTGAAGGCCAGCCAAATTCTTTGTGAACAGAACTAGTTTACTGATCATTTTATGCCCAAATTCAACGAAATATTTCTCGAACTTCAAGGTTCATCGAGCAAAGCACGTTGTAATTACAACAGCAATTTGTGGGGAGGGGTTGATGGTGGATGACATGCGTAATTTCGACTCGGAAATGCTATGCTATTTTTACACGACTTGTCTGAACATAATCTCGAGAAACAGTTAACAGCATGACATCAGCGGAAATGTTAATATAGATTTGATGTTCGGTCATTGAATTTGAGTGGTTTAAGCGAATGCTTTTTGCTCGGCAACAGAGCATTTCCATCTCTATTTACATCAGAATATTAATTTGATAGATTTTAGTTACGATTTAACGCCGTCTACCAAGTACCTTAAGTGTTTTATGGGGCAAAAGTCGTACTGAAGCTTTTATTTTGGTAATCCTCGATCCAGGTTAAATTCAATTGTTCCTCAAGTGCAGTCGATGAGATTCCTAGCGGCCAGAATAATTTTCATTTCGGATTAATAACAAAAGAATGAAAGCTGGTCCCGGAGGCTGTAATTACCGAATAGCTTCTTTGCGTTTAAAAGTTCGAAAAAAAGCAGCGCTTCGTCAAAGCATTCTTGTAGCGAACACTTTCCGCACTCTTGTTATCAAAAGTAGACCCGTCTTTTAGTGATCCAGCGGTGTTCTCTGATGAAATCCAGATCGAATTTTCATTAGAGACCGTGAGCATGTTCTCTATATTTTGATCACGTAGGAAGGAGCGCGCCAAAACGGAATCACCATCTCCTTCCTCCGTAAAGACCGGCTGATTTTTTAAGCATCTCGAGAACATAGAAAAAGGTAACGACAAACGCGAAGTCCAAAAACTGAAATTCTTTTTTTAACCGTTTTAACATTTGAAATATTTGCATTGGCCGTGAGAAAGTTGCTATTCTCATGAGGTTGGTTTATAATCGTGACAAAAGAGAGTGACCCCGGTCAATCTATACTGTTTGCGCATAAATAAATAAATGATAAATAAATTGAAACGAGAGCTCTTCTGCATGAAGCGGATTATAGACCGGGTTTTCAGAGCTTGTCGCGCAAAGCAGAGCAAAATATGGAAATGCACGAAAATATGTACGGTATTCGTGGTGGTCTAATTTATATTTCCGTTGCATGTGTGTTCAGTCCCAAAAGAGGTGTGTTTGTTATATTATACAATAGCTGTTATCTAAATAATACGAACATTGCCTAACGAGAAACTAAGGGTCCTTTTTTGCTTTGTCAGTATATCAAATATTCAAAACCAAACTACTCTAAAATTGCCTCGCGTCAATGACTTTCATACGCTGGAGGCATAACACGTTCGGCTTTTTCGTCAGAGAAATTACGGTATTGTGCCTGTACGATCCGCATGGTGATTAAGTGTGAATTGTCCCGTGGAACAGTTAGGCATTATCTAAAATTAATCTTTATTACAAAAGAACTAGAATAAAGCTTTTTGTTAAAACCACCAATCGCTAAGCACTGATCAGCTCGAATTCCGAGAGCCTCCACTCTGTAATTTACATGTAGTTGTACTACATTGTGTCGTCTATTCAGTTGACAAGCAGATAAAAATTTTGACGACAGCCAGTGGAGACAAGGGTTTGTTGTTCACATAAACAACGAACAGAAGTGTAAAGTTTTCCTTTAACTCATAGTTTGCTCATGGTTTTGTCCCTACAAAACAGGCCAAGTCAGATGAAGACGTCCAAATCCACTTTGCAGTGAATGAATAATTCCACATTTTAACCCGGGTTTTCAAAAAGGTTAGTACACCAATTATCCTTTTTTTTTTCGCTTATATCTTAGAAATGTTCGATCGAAACTTCGTTGCTTGCATCTCGGGTGATATAAATCAGTAACAAGGTAGTTTAAGTCCCTGGCTCACTAAAAGGGATTGTAAGCACCTTAATATTGAATTCTCGCAATTACTATAAACGGGAAAAAGGAAAAACGCAACCTAGAAAAAATTCATCGTGATATTGTTTAAATGAGTGCGCCAAGACGTTACGAGTGGGTTAATAGCGACATAGAAGACTTGCTTCCGAGTGGACGACAGCTCAAAAAACTCTCTACGGTGGCTAATTAGAATTATAAACTCAGCTGGTTAAGCCAAATTGTGTTAAAACACCTCCCACCGACGCAGCATCACAGTTTAGAAATTAGAGGCTTTCCGCACTAGCGGACAAAATCAGAGAACACATTTTATCTTGAGAAATTTATGTTTTGTCGGTTGCATTCACATTTTTGCCTGATTTCAGTTCAATTACACGCTGGTCGCAACTTTTGCGACAAATGGTCGACAAGTTAATTGCGGTTTTGTTTATGTAGTCGAGTGTGTCCAGCTTTTGCCCGGGACAAATTTCGTGTAATGTGCATTTGAAGATTTGTCCGCTTCGGACGAAATTTGTTAAGTAGCGACAATCCTTCTGCAGTTGTTGGTGATGACAGAAAATTTGTCGAAATAAACAACTTTTTCGTCAGTGCGGAAACACCTTTATTCGTTTTAATTCGAAGGCTGACCAAGATAAATTTGGACTGACCAATCTTATCCAAATTTGCTTTATCCAAATTCCAGCCGAATTCAGTTCATGAAGAGACATTTCCCCTCGAACTCCTCGAAGTATTTTAGACTCTTGGCATAGTACATATGTAGTTCATTGTTTGAAGGAAAGTCTATTTATAGACGCCCTTCTTTCTGTCTAGCCAAGTTTAATTCAAGAATTTAAGACATTTCGCCCTTGCTTACCAGGAGCGATTGCTGCTTTTGGTTTGACCCAATGTGTATAAGTTACGAACGTATGTGAGGAAAAGCTGATTCCTGAAGCCTTTTTCGGATTGTCGCCGGTCCTGAAGAGTTGTTTACAGAATTGAATTGACTTGAAACGATGAAACGATCATAAAACACAGTGGAGTGGTTTCTTGAAGCTTTGACTCGCATTACAGTTCCTGTGCATAAAAATTTCAAATACCACATCCGGCCCACGTAAGTCAAGGGCCACTTTCCAGAAAGCGCTCTAGAACCATCATTTTTAGCTAAATTGGGCGTGAGGGAAGACTTACCTAATCTGAATACATACAGATGCTTCCATTTGATGCAGACGTTGTAATTTATGTCACCTTTGTTAATCTAATATGCGAAGGAAAGCTCCCATGGTGTCTAAATTTTGCGGCCGACTTATTAAATAAATCTTGATATTCCGGCGCGAACTCATGAAGCCACGTGCACAGATACAAGTCAAATTTACCTCTTCGTAGGTGCTTCCGCGTTTCCCTTATTATCATGACGGTGCATGACGATTTTAATATATTGGCCAACATGCATAACCACGCTTACTAATATTATTTCCTTTTTCTCCCGCAGCTTTTCGTAAGACGAAATTTTTTCATCGTGTATCCGCAGACTGTCTTTAATAGGACACAATTTGGTTGAACACAGCGGTTTCGGTTCAAAACAAGATGAGGATTGGGGATCCTACACGGAATTATTTCTCTAAGGTCCGCTGTCGCTACATACTGCTCACCATAGTTCTCGTAATTGTGGTGGCACTCTATGTCACAATGAACTTAAAAAACTATGGTCTTTACACTGGAAATCATCCTTTCTTCGCAGCTCAACCGTGTCAATACCTCAACTCGAAAGAGAAAGGACAACTTTTGAAGATGGCGCATACAGTGCATAAGATTCTTGATGGCTTTGGTATAGAACATTGGCTCGTTTACGGATCTGTTTTTGGCGCTGTTCGGGCGCACGGCCCTTTGCCGTGGGACAATGACGTAGATATTGGTTTTAACGGCTCAGGGACATTCGCCACAATGGATTTTAACAAGTTTTTGGCCGCTTTTAAAGACAATGGTCTGAAAGTTTATTACAGAAGGTGGATCACAAGCAACGTGATGAAAGTTTACAAGGATGATCAACCTCATATCAAAGTAGACCTGTTTGCCTTTTACAATTATCGTGGCTGGATGAAGCGCGCCGGGCTAGAAACGTGGATCTTTGCATTGAATTATAATTTACACGATACGTATCCGGCGAGACTAGTAGAAAAGCCTTTACCTATGGTCCGATTTGGTTACTTTAAATTACCGGCTCCAAGGGAAGGCCTTACAATTCAACAATACCTTTACCCCGACGACTGGTGGAAAGAAGTGAAACCTGTCACCTGTAAATAACGCAATATTATGTTTGCTGCGTTACAAGCTACTAAATTGCCGCGCACAAATGAAGAACAGAAAGGTCTTTTTTGTCTTCAGTGTTCGGTATCGTTTCTCGTTTGTTTTACTACAACTTTATTGTTTTTTCACTCAGTTCCACTCATTTTTTGGTGCTGAAAACTTTTGAAGTAAAAGTTATTCAAGCTCTCCTCTTAGGACTAAAATAGTTCGCCCCTAGACATTTTTCTTGGTCTCAAAGTTATCATTAATTGAATTTCTATTTTGAGAACCTGTCACAAAATAGTTAAGTGACGTTCAAGATTTTGATGCGAAACGGTATATTTTTGGAAATCGAAAATTACGACTCATCCGAGCGTTAAAAATTACAGGAAATTATTGTAAAATTCCCAGTAGACGAAGAAGGCGATACTAAGTTTTTAATGGTTTTGCCCTTTACCTAAATCTTTCTTGAGCTATCTTTAAAAATGTGATCATAACACGAAATGTTTTATTTGATTGAACTGAATTCAAACATTTAACCTATCGTTTTCATAAAAATTTTTCTGAAGTCTTAAGAAGCATCCGAGTTAATAAGAAAAACGTAATTTCAACAATGAGTTTATAAATCAGGACGGTGTCATAATCTCGGACCTGGGCGACTCCCCTGGGGGAGTTTTCCCGGCAACCGCTGATCTTGGGCTTCGTTTTCATGTTATTTGCATATTTTGTTTTCATCTTTGGTTAATTTAAATTAACCCTAAACACCTCCTTGATTCAAATGCAAATTCTCTATACTGTTCTCTATACATTTACTATGGAACTGGTAAGAAGAATTTGTTTGGCAGTCAGGAGCTTTTCAAGTTGGCAATCATTTCTTTTTTTCTCATTATCTAAATGTTTGATTCAGCAGTGATGAAGTAAGGAGAATTACGATGTTGATATTCTACATGAAAGAATGGTAAAGATCACACCAGCTTAGTTCATCAGAGTTTTTAGCCCAGGCTTTTGACACGTCACGCAATCCGCCCTTTGCGAGGATTACGTGACAAGAGAAAAAATTAGTCTTTAAAAGGCCACAGAGTTATTATTTCTTGAGGTTAATTTGCATTCGGGATAGACTGACACTCACATACTTAATCGTGTGATTATTTATATTGGGATACAACAAATAAAGTATAGATACACTTTAACGTCAGAATATGATCTTGAGCATTTATTACAGAGGAAAGTTTTTTTTCTGTGCGGCGGTTAACTAAGCCGTCCGCCAGCTAAAGTCAAGAGATATCTTGCCATATGGTACCACCACGTTCGCGGTCTAGCGGGCGGGAAAAAAATAGACCCTGGGACCAGGTTGGATCAGGCGAACGCGCGAGATCTTTCGGGAAGGAGCTTGTGCTAACCAAGCTGGGGTTTAGCTCCAGTTTTTCATGGTAAGGGAGGAGAGGGGAGGGGGGCCTTTGTTGCCTGTGTTTCAGCGGGGCTCGTATTCAAGCACAGAGAGGTTCTGACTAGTACTTACTACAAAAAGGATTTCTGCCATGTAGATTGTTCGGATTCGCGCGTTTTGGCAAATCTGAA